GCTGGAGAGCGACTGCCACATACCTCCATGGTTTGAAACAACGATACCGTCACATCCCGCCTCAAGGGCGAGCTTCGCATCATCCACATGCTGAATGCCCTTGAGTACAATTGGACCATCCCAATTCTTTCGCAAAAATGCAATTTGTTCCCACGCATGCGGCTGACCATAGAATACCTGGGAAATCCATGACTTGGATGCCCCCACAATGTCCTCTTCCACTGTCGAACCGGACTCTTTCTCAAATTTCGAGCGGAACACGGGATCCGTGAAACCGAGTGTGTTGCCGACGCCCCGTATGAACGGAACGTAGGCATTGTCCAGGTCCGCTGGTCGCCAAGCGAGCGACCAAGTGTCGAGCGTAACTACCAGGACGGAGAACCCATTGTCTTTGGCGCGTTTCAGCAATGATAGTGTGATATCATCATCTCGCGGCCAGTAGAGTTGGAACCATCTTTTACCGTCTCCGTTTGCCTGCCCGACCTCTTCAATCGAGCTGCTACTCGCGGTGCTGAGGATATACGGGATCCCGACATTCCCGCAAGCTTCTGCAAGGCCAGACTCCTTATCATCATGGAAAATAGACTGGACGCCGATCGGCGCCATAAGAAGAGGAGTTGGATATTGCTGGCCAAAAAGGTTTACCGCAAGGTTCTGATCATTGATCTACGCGGACACAACCATTGGTCAGCGCTGGGACTTGGAGGAACCGACTGAACTCTACTAACCGGCTTCAGCATCCTCGGGATTCTTTTCATATCATCAAACGTTATGTGCGTTAGTCTCCCGATTCTACGTAGCAACATCGCGACGGAGACGAATCAACTTACAGCTTCCATTGTCGAAAAGCCAGCCGATTGCTATCCATTGTAGCCTTCTCCCCAGCACCGCCAGCCACATAATTGAAGCTACGCTCGCCTAGGGCCTTCTTTGCCTGTTCTTCAAGTAAGCGAGGGTCGGTGGTGACATTGGGCAAGACGCCCGTCAATGCTCCTCTGCCATAGATCTCTGTCTGATAGTCGCCGTAGTTTTCCGACATATTGCGCGTAAAAATAGATGATATTTCTTTCCAAATCCGAAAATGATTACTGGGATAAACAGATGCTGACAGCAGAAGGAGCCCCCTCACGGATAGCGTTGTGCCTCATGCAGTTAGCACGTGAACCAGCCATGCCTCGGGATCCTGATCATTACCCGATACGGTGTGTTGCTGACGTCATGTCTACCGGTACCTAGATGCAAAGTACCTAGTAGTTTTACTATTGATTGACCATGAGGAAAGAAATGTCCATTCGTCTTTGCTATATCTACCGCTAAACCTCAAATAGAACAACGAACAGCCACACACGCTGCCACGTGTAGAGACAAGGCATCAATTCCACGTCGAAGCAATGTTGTAGATGTCAGCTCTGACATCCTCTGTAGTTCCACCAGTTGACAAAAGACGAGCGTGAACCGCATCACTGCTAGGGAAGATCTGAGCCGTCAGGGTTGTCTCGCCCTGGCCGCCAAACACCTCGACGCTGGACCTATCGACGAAGATACTCAAGTTCACTACACCAGTGCTATCCGGCGTCAGAGGTCCATGATAGACGCTCGCGAAGGTCTTGTCGAATGACACGTCTCCGGAGTGTGTACGGTCAAGGAATATTTGCTGCTTGGCGAATTCATAGCCAACGAGGGTCTGCTCGGTGAAGTTGGCGGATGCTCGGAGGGCAATTGCAATTGTCGAGGCCGTCGAATTGGCGGAGAAGCTCAAGTCCACTTTGAATGTTTCTCCGGTCGTGGTTGTGTTGGTGGAGCCTTCAGAGAGAGTCTTGAAGGTGCTTGAATAGATTGGACGCTTGTTCGAGATGGAAGACCACGCTTCCTGGGGTTGCTGGACTAGGGTTGTTTTGCTGCCAATGGTCTTTAGGGCCATGTGGCGGGGAATGGCCATGGCGCTGCGCCAGGGGTAGGTGGGGATGTTCGCGCCATACTGCCAGTTGTTCATCCAGCCGATATGGACGTGGTCGTTGAGCGAGAGGCCGTTGTAACCAGCTGCGGCATAGAAGTCCGGACCCCAGTCCATCCAGTTTGCGGTGGAGTTTCCTGGGTATACTGTGTCGGCGTCAGGCGTGAATGTGGTTCCGTCGAACTCTCCCACGAAGTACTGGGTTCCGGAGCCGACAGTGCCTGGGGGACCGCCGGGGTTCAGTCCGCTTGTAATGACCCATTTTGTGAAATTTCCGCCGTCGAGGGGGAGCTTGACTAGTCCGGGACACTCCCACACTCCGCCTTGCGCGTTGTAAGGACCGAACTCGCTCACTAGCTTCCAGTCTTTGAGGTTGTCGGAAGTGTAGATCGCGAGTTTGTGCAGCTCCGCTATGCTCGTGACAACCACCCATTTCTGGGATTCGTCGTGCCAGAACACAAAGGGGTCCCGGAAGTTCTGGTATTCAGCTTCATAAGGGCTGGGAGGGTTGGGGATGACTGGATTGGCGGCATCGTATGTCGTCCATGTTAGACCATCGTCAAGACTGTAGGCGAGGGACTGTGATTGCTGGTCTTCTTGGACGGTTTGGCCACTCGGCAATGTTTGCGCAACGGGGTACTAGGATGCTACTGTTAGTGATATGCACGCTAGAAATGGTCCGGGAATGGGTAGGTACATAGGAAGTATACATTGCGACTAGGGGTGTCTTGCCGTCCTTCCCAAAGCCACTCGTGTTGTTGACATCGGCAACAGCACTTCCGCTGAAGTACATCTCGGTGATGTTGCTGCCAAATCCTCGGGCGAGAAGTGCAACGGGCTGCTCCTCCCAGTGGGTGAGATCCTCACTGATAGCATGCCCCCATGATATGTTTCCCCACTCGATGCCACCAGGGTTGTACTGGAAGAACAGATGGTAGGTTCCATTGTGGTATAAGAGCCCGTTGGGGTCATTCATCCAGTTCTTCTGGGGTGAGAAATGGTATTGACCACGATAAGGCTGGTCATAGTTGAAGGCATGTGTAATGCCCAACAACATACAAACGCTTAGGGCTTTCGACAGAGGAGCCATTGCTAACAAACCCTTTGAGAAAACCGCGCTGTGACTGAGGATTGTCTCTAAAATTTCAGGCATAGAATGACCGGGTTTATATGTGCGCCAGTGGACTCCGAGTCTGTCGTTGAATGGAGTGGGGTCCTGCAATAATGTGCCCAGATATACAAACCTTCTACTACATCCTGACGCCGAACTGAGTTTTAATGCCTCATCCACTTCGTATCTGACCTATATCTTCTGTAAACCCACGCTGACTTCCTCTTTTTTTTTACTTCGATTGGGATTTCCTCTCCTTTTCCGTCCACATATATGCTGTCTCAGTGAGTCGGCTGTACTTGCGTGATCGGCATCGGTTGTATTTCACAAATCCGGGGTGTGTCATTCAGGGATGTATGCATTTCCCCGCGTGGGGTGTTGTTGACATTGTACCACGGACCACACTCGGGATTGAGCGGATGCCTGCGCCTAGACCGAGAATATCGGCCCATCGGTCTACGCTTCCTCGGTGAAATTTCAACCTTTGCTCGGCGAAATTGACTAGATACTGCGGAGTATGGCATCGGTATACCCCTGGTGCCCACTCCACAAACCCTTCAATTGGCCCCCGACTGCGTGGCTTTGCCGAGTGCGGAGAAACATCGGGGACAGCGTTGGTCAGGCCCAAACGGAGTCGACAGAGTAAGCCGGTGTAGGTATTGCAAAACTGAGAACTTACAAGCGAAGACCATTGCATGAAGGAGCTGCTGTTCGTATATTCGTATAGGTAGTCGTAAGAGGGGTCTCATGGCGGGGCTGGAGTCCTAGGCTGCTGTGGATAGCGATGGAGGCATCCTCCCAATCAGTCCCATCAGTAGATACTATGTAAGCAGTCGCTTGAGCAAGGCAATCGAAACCGAACAAATGCTTTCTAATTCACTTCATGGACTCCAGTCCGCGCAATGACTGGCACACAACATGCAACGCCAATGTTAGATCCGAATAACGTCAAGTGGTTATACACAGTGCCGGCTCCTGGGGACTAGTTGATTTCAAGCCCAAAGTACGACAAGGCCCCAATAAAAAGATTGTGGGCCTGCTTGTGATAAATGGGGTGCCATAAATGTCTCATCTTAGGAAGTATCCGGCAAGAACCCCACAGACGATAGAATTACATCCTAAACTACGTCACCTGATCCAGAGGCAGGATTAGACTATCAAGAAGATGGGTAACCCGAAGACAAGTTGCCCGTGAGTTCACCCTGTATATCCCTCAACAGTGATGGCATAACCTTATCAAGGCTAACGATAACATCTGCTGAATGACAAGACAGGTGACGAAATCAGAGGTAGATCGGAAACTGAAGCGGCCATGTGTGAAAGTGCTCAGCTATGATAAGTAGAAGAGGAACGCTCCATAGCTAGTTCAATGTTATACCTAGATAAGAACAGACCTTCCAATATACTGTCCGTGTGATGGCAAGGTGCAGTGTTCTTATTATGTATTATGTATAGGAAAAGGAATCTTGCGAAGGCTGGTGTGTCCTGTACACTAGTATGACCTAGGCCCCCAGCGCGGAAGAATGAAGGACCGAGCAGGGCGCATAACCGTCGCCTGGGAGCTACCCCAACAACTGAAGGGTGAGGTTCTCATAGACATGTAGTTGTCCTCCTCTTGATTCGATATGCATAGTGTACGACCCAGAATCCTGAAGATGGCCTCTTTTGCTGCAAAGCCCACGTCTAGAAGCCTCTCCTTAATGTGTCGCGGTATGCTCTAAGTGGACCCCTACCGGCAGTTCAGTCTGACAGCCATCGCTACATCTAGGAGAGCCTATCCAGCGCGAACAACTATATCAATACACCAATGGTCGATTTTTAGTCAATGAAAAGCATGAGATGTCAAAACGATATGCCGAATTTGATCTTGATGCTCTTTGTGCACTTGTTTCGGCTTTGCCACATATTTCTTCGCCGATCTCTAGGATTGACAAGATGGAGGGTGGGTTCAACAAGGCCTTACTAATGACTGCGGAGAATGGGAAAGAAGTTATCGCAAAGTTACCGTGTCCCAAGGTTGTGCCCCCGCAATATAGCACCGCATCTGAAGCAGCTGTTTTGGAATATGGTAAAATTGGTCCGATCCGCTCTCAAAATTGAAGATGCTGACCTGAATGTCCCCCAGTGAGGTCTCATACCTCTGTTCCAGTGTGCAAGGTTCTTGGGTGGAGCTCTGACTCTTCAAATCCAGTTGGTTCCGAGTATATCCTAATGGAGAAAGCTCACGGGAAGCAGTTGGTCGAAGTATGGGGCGAAATGAATCAGCTGCAGCAGTTCCGGCTCGTTCAATGCCTGGTCCGGCTTGAAAGTCAGTTGGCAGCGTTGGAGTTTCCGGCTTATGGAAACCTGTATTTTCGGCCTCCGGATCCCCAGGGCTCGGTCAGAGCTGTTCCAATAGACGACAAATTCTGTGTTGGCCCGGCATATAGTGCATCGTGGTTTCCGCAGCCGGGCGAGGAACGTCATGCAGGCCCATGTATGTCACCAGTCAACACCATTGAAAACATATGCTAAATCCACGGTCTTCAAGGGCAGTGCCTTACAGACCTTGGACTTGGGTTGACCAGTCGGGGTCTTGCGCACCTGCAACATTCGTCGCTTGCTCCTCGTAGACCCCATTTCGGCACCAAATCTGAGCACCTCGAGATCTTGACAAAGGTTAGGGAGACAATGCTACATTTGGGGGGTTTCGCCCCACTGCAGAAGTTTTCTAAGCCTACGCTGTGGCATAGCGACCTTCACCTGGGCAATATATACGTTTCCGAGGAGGATCCAACAGCTATCGTCAACATAATCGATTGGCAGTTCACCTCGATTATGCCCGCTTTCATGCAAGTTCAGTGGCCTTCTTTTCTTGCCCCACCTGATGGCTATGAAGCTGGTACCGTCAAACCGGGACTACCTCCAAATTTTGAAGAAATGGACGCCGATGAGAAAGCATTTGCTATCACCGAGAGAGATCGAGCTTTACTCTCGAAATGCTACGAAGCAGCTCTGGTCAAGAGCCACATACTATCGTACTTGGCTATGACTCGAGTTGACTCCGCTGTTCGATACCTTTTCTCATTCGCAGAAGACACGACAAAGGATGGGATTGTTCCGCTTCGTGATTGCTTAACCCAAGTCGCTGAACACTGGGACGAAATGGGTATCACTGAGCAGTGTCCTTATCACATTACGGATGAAGCATTATCAAAGCATAGATCAGAGCTAGCACGGTACAATGATTGGCAGACACTCAAAGGCTATACACAGGAACTGTTGCACTCAGACGATGAGGGCTGGGTTTCCCCCCAACTCGATTTTGAAAAGGTCCAGGCAAGACATGCTGAACTCTTTCAACTATACATGGAGAGAGAAACCCAAGATATGACTGAGGAAGAGGCAAAAAGGCTTTGGTTTTACATAGAACATTCCTAACGGAGTCGAATGCGACACTATACGTCGATTGTGTCATCAGATGCGTTGGTTTTGCTGCTTAGCTCAGGTTCAAGCAGTGGTCGTTTGCAGGCCTGAAATAACGCGTCTGATGATTGATTGATGCGATTGCTGCGGTGTATCAATTGATCATACCTATCAACCCAGGTTATCCTTCGCCTGCTTCTCGACGTCTTCCCATATCTCATCAAAAGCGGTTGACATCCTTTCTTTCGGTTCATTGACATTGATGTCCACGAAAGCAAGATTCCCGTGGCTGGAGTTCTTTTTCCTCCACTTTTGGAGTGACTCGTTGGTGGCCTCTGAGTTGACTTGAACGTAGACCCTTTTCTTACCATCCTTCACTTCTCCCGCGTCCAAGCGCAGTTGCCATTTCTTATCTTTGTTACCGCTCTTGGGAGGCGCAATGCGAGCTCCGGGTGAATGGGTCTTCCATAACTTGCTCACCTGGCCCTCCCGGACCATCATATTCTTAAACTCTTTGAGTGCCTTCGACATGATGAGATTTGAGGGAATGGCCAATAAAGAGGATCGATGAATACAAGCAGAATGAGGAGGAATGAAGACTTTGAGGTTGCGAATACTGCTTTCCCTCCATAGTCATTGCCTCCCTTTTAAGGCCTTCTGAAAGATAGCGCCCTCGAAACTCTTGTCACTTGACCCTCCTGGCCAAACTACGTGAAGCCAATAAGGTCTCGCTCCTCGCACACCACTAAGTTACCGTCAGTGTTGAACTTGCCTACCGCCTTGATGTTTCGAATGATGGCGATCTCGCAGGGGCTATCAAGAAATCCTCTACTAAGGTTGCTAAAGCGAGAGGATGGATGTAAGGCTGAAACTGCACGTTGGACTTGCATAGACGCGAGCATGGAGTTGGCCAATCGAAGGAGACACTGCTATCAATGCCACTACTTCGTTCGTACCCACTCGACGCCAATGAACAAGTTCACGTCCGATGTTCATTCGTAGCTTGTGGCCAATGAGCAGGGAAACATCAGCTAAGGAATGAGACATCATCTGTCCTCCCCTGTTCGGTTTCTATTTCCGGCTCACAACTAGCGAATCTAGTCGCTCCTAAGCGGCTATATCTTCCCGCTTATTTGCTGAACGGATGCCGTACATCAGCTAGTGCTATTCCTCATTACTTTGTACACGCTACCCCTCTTCCTGAACCCTGTTCGTGCTGTGTGACCATCTTATTGGCCCTGTCTGAGGCGATATATGACTCCCTTCACGCTGTAAGCGCTGGGTTCCAGGCATCGCTATTGTACGGTGCGCGCTTTTCATTCTGGTCCGGATAGTAATCAATCATTACTATGGCTTACATAAATTTGCTGCACAGTGCGGAGGAAAAAGTTCCTCTGCGGCGCAGTGGTAAATAACTCATTGTGAAGTCAGCCATTGCTCTTCTGACCCACAACCTGATGGGCTAGTTTCGTGGTTGACTGTTTGCATTAAACCATATCCCAGATTGCTTCTTCATGTTTGGCTATGAGTAGATCCGCTCTGTTGGTGTGTTGTGTTTGCACATGATAGAGTTTCTCGTCATCTCCGCGCCTTGTTTTCAACATGATCTGCATCCGGATGAGTGCAACGGCGGAGCTATATCCGCACAGTCTCGGTAGCTGGCAACGACGGATTCCCCGAATGGGTATTTTGTGGCGAACTAAATCCTATTGTACTCCTAGTATTGTTTCTCGAGCCACAGATTTTGAGCGTATCTCAAGTAAGGTTGTGGGTTTGCAGGTGGAAAGGCCCGCGAAGACTAAAGTCAAAACCCAGCCGGGCTGGAACCTTGGCGAATCTTGGCCACCCACCAGATCGCCACCATTTTCTGCTTCAATAATCCCCCACCTCACTTCCATCGTGATCAGTATTCCTGGGATTGTACAGTTTGTGTCTCTTGATTATCATGCGTATCATGGATCTAGTCAGATCCTGAAACCCGAACTACTACATTGTCCACGGGAAGTTGGGACCAAATCTCGGCCCGTGTGCAGTTCCTTAACAAGGTTAGATGACGAAATAGACTCCAACAGCAAAGATGGAATACCAAGAAGAACAGAAGCCTGATCCTAGATCTCCAACTCAGTTTGGAGGCTCGATGGATGGCGGTGATAGCAATGACTCGGCTCTCTCATTACTGGATGAGAAACGCGAGAAGCATTTAATTCGCAAGATTGACCTACATATCATACCTTTTGTCGTTCTTCTATATCTATTTAGCTTTCTTGACAGAGGTATGTCTTCCTATACATGTTACTTCGCAAGTCTACTTCCAGTTTATGACTATACGAATGATTGGCATACTTGCTAACAAGCCCTAGTCAACATTGGCAATGCCCGTCTATATGGGATGGAAGAAGACCTGGGCCTGGTCGGAGATCAATACCAAATTGCAGTATCTATTCTGTTTGTAACTTACTGTGTATGTCTGGGTTCGCATACATGTGTGGTTTGGAAGTAACGTCTAATACTGTTTAGCTCTTCGAAGTGCCGTCAAACTTGGTTATCAAGAAGCTTAGGCCATCACGCTATATTGCATCGATATCGGTTATGTGGGGCATCATAGCGACTCTCACTGGAATAACCCAGAATTATGGAGGCCTCATCGCTTGTCGCATCCTTCTAGGTTAGTCACAGACCATGAGTTGGTGATGCGAGTCCAAGCTAACAGATATAGGCGTCGTGGAAGCCGGACTGTTTCCTGGAATGGTTACCTATCTCACTATTTTCTATAGCAAGCGTGAAATAGCACTGCGCACGGGCTACCTATTCAGCAGTGCAGCCGCTGCCGGCGCATTTGGCGGACTTCTAGCTTACGGCATCGGCTTCATGGACGGCGTCGCCGGTTTACGAGGTTGGAGATGGATCATGATCATAGAAGGCATTCCAACCGTCATACTAGGGGGCCTATCCTGGTTCTTTCTTGCGGATGACCTCGATACAGCCTATTACCTGGATGATGAGGAGAAGGCCCTAGTAGTTCGACTCCGTCGTCGCGACGTGGGCCAAACATCGTCCGCCCAAAAATTTCACTGGGCAGACGTCAAAGAAGGTGCGCTGGACTGGAGAATCTACGCCTTCTGCATTGCTCAATTCGGTGTCGACACTATGCTATACGGGTACAGCACCTTCCTCCCAACCATTATCCAGGGCATGGGGTCGTGGACAACACCCGAAGTGCAAGCTCTTACGATTCCTTGTTATGCGGTGGGCGCAATAAGTTATCTGATAATTGCTTGGGCGAGCGATAGAACTCAGCGTCGCGGAGTATTCACTTGCATCTTTGCTGCAATATCAGTGGTTGGCTATGGAATTCTGATATCGGATTCTTCGTCAGGAGTACACTACTTCGGCGCCTTGCTTATTGCCCTAGGATTATATGTGGCTGTCGGATTACCTCTCGCATGGCTCCCAACCACTCTTCCTCGTTATGGAAAGCGTACATTCGCCACGGGGCTGCAACTGACTTTCGGCAACGTCAGCGGCGTCATGTCTCCTTTCCTATACAAAACGAATGAAGCGCCACGTTATGTTCGGGGCAATGCAGTGACTCTGTCGCTGGTTGGATTTGCAGGTGTTGTGTATGGTCTTATGTGGTGGTACTATCATGGCAAGAATAAGCGCAGAGAACAGGGAGTGGAAGATGAGAAGATTGCAGGGATGTCAGAAGAAGAAATTGAGGAAATGGGAGACAGAAATCCTCGGTTTAGATATAGTACCTGATATGTTGCGCAGATCTCCGAAATGCGAGCAAATCTCGGTGTTGCCATGGCTGTGGGACACAAGACAAACATTGTTTGTTTCTTGGCATTGATAAGCCGTCTGTCGATCATCTCGATTAGCCTGTAATCCATCTCTTTTCAGATAATGTCATCTAAATGCATCTGCTCATGACGTCGGGAGGTCCATGTTCACCATGGTTCACGTGCTTTCGCTTAGCTCTTTGATATTATCATTCTTCACTGCAGTGGCAGGAATTCTTTTTTATAATAATAGTCTGTCGCGCAGTACAAATTGTCGTGACTCTGTCTTCTCATCAGCTTTTGGCGCAAGCTGGAGGGCCTGGATTCAAAGCCCGTGGATAGAGCAACATGACGACTGGAATCTTCACCAACATCTTGGTGGATATGGGCCCTGGGTCGAGAAATCCGCCGGAGACGATGACGATGAATTACAGGGTGTTGATGTACCAGAAAGTTGCACAGTTGACCAGATACACATGGTACTTGATCTCCCTGTTCATCCTAGATGCCAATGCACTAATCGACGACTAGATGTCGCGCCATGCGGCGAGATATCCAACCAGGTCTGCAGGAAGCCGTAGGTGATCCGCCATAACGAGAGTCTCTTAATAATACTAACGAGACATTTCACCATGGCTACAGGCCATCTTGCCCTTTTGGATAGAATCCATAAAGCAGGGATTCCGCTGAACGGCTCGTTGTCATTCCTAAACAACTGGACCTACATCACCAGTAATCCAGAACGAGACTTCGAGCAATTGACCACAACCGGTCCATACGCTGGCACTCATCAAGCCTTCGAAACCGGAGTCCGTTTCGCAGCCCGTTACGGACACCTTATTCCGTCCGATGCGAAGACAAAGTTCTGGGCAAGTGATTCCGAGCGCGTCATTGAAACAGCCCAACACTTTGCCTCGGGGTTATTTGGGTCTGACTGGGAAAGGGTCGGAAAGGCCGCTCTAGAGATCATCCCAGAGACATTTGATCGCCGCGCTGATACACTCACACCGGGAGATACCTGTCTAAATTACCTAGAAGACGAAGATCGTGGCCATGACAACGGCATAAAGATGCTCACTTTGTTTCAGCAGGCGTATATCCCGTCTATTGCGGAGCGACTGCTCGTTGAGGAGGGCAACCGTGAGCTTGAGGGATTCACCAATTGGGAGGTCTTCAGCATGCAGGAAATGTGTGGTTTTGAAACGACTGTACGGGGCTCGAGTCCCTGGTGCGATGTCTTCACGCGCGAAGATTGGAAAATTTTTGAATACGGACGTGATTTGGTTCATTACTATCGTGGAGGCCCGGGAAATCCTTACGCGGGCGCAATGGGCTGGCTTTGGCTGAATGCTACAGCGAATCTTTTGCGAGAGGGGCCCAAGGCAGGTTCAATGTTCTTCAGCTTGTAGGTGACTTGACGTCCTAACGGAGGGAGCCAAGATACCAGAGTCTAACGTGTGTTCTAGTGTCCACGACGGGGATATAGCACCTTTCTTGACTGCGCTGGACATAATGAAAGACGCAAAGTACGACCCAATTCTTCCTGTCACACATCGGGCTGAAGACCGCATTTGGTATACCTCAACTGTGATGCCAATGGGCGGTCGGGTCACGCTTGAACGGATGGCCTGTTCGCCAACAGATCCTGTCCACAAAATGAACGAGACATTTCTCCGGATAAATATCAATGACAAGATTGTGCCGCTGCCATACTGTAAGTCTGGACCTGGCTTGTCTTGTCCGTTGACGGAGTTCGTCCGTGATGTGGATAGAAGAAGGGTTGAAGTAGGAGAGTTTGGGGATGTATGTGGTTTGGATGGTGATGTTGGAAGGATTACATTTCTTCGGCAACAGCAACTTGACTAGATATTCGAGGTATGTCATCTAAGTGTTATAGGAGGCATCTTTGACATTGTTGCTGGTAGTCTGTGGAACATGCTTTGTTCAGGAATGCTGGCCTATGCAGATTTGCCGCATGAGCTGAGGTTACTTAACATTTCTTCGATAGGAAGGACTATTTCATCAGGCGCTATCTCCTAGGATTATCACCTGGGTGATTATAGGACAAGATGCGCTTAGGACAGTCGTAGATCATGATGGACTTGTTACTTATCATTAGTAAACTGAAATCGGTAGGGTTCAACAGATTGGGCTACTAGTAACAATACTAGTATCTACTGGTATATATTGTACGGGGGCGGATGGGTGAAAAATTAGAATTGACAACAACTTCGTTGGATGGGTAGTACCGTTCAGGCCGAATTAGTGCTAGGAACATATAGACTAGCTAATGAAGGACCTTTCGGTACATCTATTGAGGCCCAGACTATATATCAGATATTAATGATAATGATTAATTGGGGTAAAGCGACTTGAAGCGGTCAAGATCCGCCGTCCATACCGCAGCGACTCACGTGACGGTATCCGGGCTAACACTCACTGTTTGTTGCGCCCAAAACTTTTGGACGGAAATCAGCTTCCATCCAACGGATCCTTTCATAAGGCCGCTTCTTCTCATCAAAACGTCACCTAATATCCTCCTTTTTTTACGAGATAATTTCAGTCCCGGAATTCTGCATTTTTGCTTTCATCTAGTATATCAGCAACGATCCACATTATTTTCTAAAATGGAGTACCACTTCGTTCCTCCGGAGGAGCGCGCCAGAGACGAGAAGGGTAACCTCCTACCCTGGGGCTACGTTTACAAAGAGTAAGTCTTACACCATTGCGTCATTTCCCCAAACAACCTCAACTCAATCTCACTCATCATCTTTTCCAGTGAATCTCGCAACCCTCGTCGACCCCCCGAAGAATCTGGCCCATTTGGCAAGCGCAGAAACGCCCGCTATGAACACACCCGATCTCGCACACGCACCGGCACACCGGCAGCAAAGCGCGAAAACCCCAATGTAGCAGAATTCGGGCGTCTATTCGCCCAACAACAAGAAGAGGAGAAAGCGCGCAGCAACACCCTGCCCAAGTCATCCTCCGCTTCCAACCTCGACAACGCCCGGAAGCAGCAGACAGAGAAGGTCGCAACCGAGTGCATACTATACGGTTACAAGAGCAAGGATTTTGAATGGAAAGTGATAGACAAGTACGAGCGGATCTCTCGCGGGTTCATCTGTGAGGACTATCCGCGGACCGACCCCAATGCTTTGAACGGGTATTCGCAGCTCCTGAGCGGCGGTGATGTGGTCATCCGGGCGAACTTATCAGCGGACGCGAATCGCAAATCGAAGCGCTATGCGGGAGGATTTCACTGGATTAAAGTGACGTTTGATTCGACGACAGCGGCCGATCGCGCGTGCTTCTACTCTCCGCAGGAAATCGATGGCCATTTGGTCTTTTGTGAGCTGTATCATGGCCAGGGACCTGCGGAGGATGCCCCTATCGTACAAGGTTCCACGGAGGCGACTCGTCTCCAGTCGAAGGCGGCGCCTCGCACCTTGACTTCGTCGCATTCGACGAGTTTCCTCCAACCGAAGGACACAGCCACCAAGGAACGCCATACACTGCCGAGATCTTTCGCCTCGAATAACCTGTCCAGTATCCTCGACGCCCATGAGGAAGAGTCCCAGGAATCATCATCGACCCCCACCGCTAGCTCCGCAACAGCCACCGCCATCGAGCAACCAGCACCCCTGCAACAGCGCACAGTCGTAAAGGAGCCCAAGCCCGAATCAGACTTCATGACGCATATCCCGACGGTGCGTCGGACGAAGCTCCGACCCATCACAGAAGCCCTTCCACCTCAGCCTACGGTCACAGAACGAGTGCTGCGCTCCATCCCTATTCTCAGCTGGTTCACGGGTGATATTGTAGGCGATGGACCTCAACTCCGCGAAGACGGGGCATTCGATTTCGACAAGTCGAACACCTACTGGAAATTCTGGTACATGGTCGATAGAATCCTGGGGACAGATATCTGCGGACTGAAAGAGGAGTCATGACATCTCACATCTATCCCTTTCACTCCTATTTGCTATATCTCAATGGAACAAAGACTCCTTGAGAAAAGCAGGGAAAAAAGAAAACGAGGATAAGAGAAAAATCGACCACACGCGCCGATTGAACCCCAAGTCCAGTCCCGTGGAACCAAACGGTGCCCTCGTTTTCTCTCCTAGCAGATACCCTGATGCATGTACGATAGTGCTTTGCTTCTTTTCCGTGTTTGTCAACGATGATGCTCAATTGTTGACAATTTCCTTTTCGAAGAGTGTGTGGTTTGTGGCGCTGCATTGTCAGCTTGTGTCTTTTATGTCTTTCGAACTTTTTACTTTGCATATTAAGTGTCTGGCGCTGGGTATATGGTCATTCATTCACTGTTGGGCTGCATAGAGATGCGATGGAGAAAATAATCATAGCATGTTTAGTGTGGGGTTGTTATGTTTTGTAATTCACATATTCATATATGTGTGTAGTAGTAGTAGTAATATAGTGTAGTGTCATTGGAGTAGACGTGCGCATCGTATCATCGTCATTTATACATCATGAGCCATCATCATCATCAGAACCGAACATGGTAAACACAGTAAGAGAACAAGCACCCCCACCCCCACCATAAATAAGATATGTCCTATACCCTCACCTCCCCCCTCAAAGAATACCCTCAATGCATCACAACAGCCACATGATCATTCATATACTTCTTAATATTCCCCAAGAAACAAGCGGCGATGATAGACACGCCTCCGAACCCAATACTAGCATAATACACCCACTTATAGCTCTCAGCGTAGGCGAGCTGACCCGCCGCCACGACGGCATTGTACGCAGTCTCGTTACCCGCGATTCCGGGAATGAGCTTTAATTCGTCGAGCAGAGACGCACCGGTCATTTCGATCGCTTCGGCGATGTACGTGGTGTTGGTTATGTTGAGCTCGGTGAGCATGACGCCGCCGATGTAGTGTTGTGCGTTGGGGACGAATTTGGAGATGAAGATGTTGTAGTAGATAGTGTAGCCGATGCCGCCGCCGGCGACGCGGATGGAGAGGGTGAGGGCTGAGATGGTGGCGATTAGGTCCTGGAGATTGGCTAGTTAGTCTATGGGGTGTGGGGGGCTGGTGTCGTTTATAGGGGGGTAGGCTTACGTCTGGGCATATAATTGTTGTGATGATTGAGGCTGGGACGATTATGCCCCCGATTCCTAGGCCTGCGATGATTAGGATGCCCCAGAGTTGGTATAGGTTGTCTGGTCGGCCTATTGACATGGCACCGCAGCCTGAGTGGATGTTAGCGTTTTATTCGTGTTCAAGGTTGAAGGGTTATACAGACCGGCTGTCATGAGGACGCTGCTGATGATGAGAAGTTCCTTGTTGTGGCCATGCAAGACACTGAGGAGCCATAGGATGATACAAGCACCTGCCATGATGCCGAACCCGATGGGGAGACTCCGAACACCAACGTCGACGGGATCGTGACCATACACGTTGAATGACTGTGTGGGCCAGAACATGAGAACAGAGAAGAAGTTTGCTCCTGAGATGAACGTGATGACTAGGGTCAAGCCCAGAATGCGTGGCTCTTGCTTTAGTCGGCTTGGAAAGATGGGATATTTGGCACCATAAATCTCCCAAAATGCAAACACAACCAAGACTACAAAGCCAAGAATCAGGGGAATCAGAACATGAGCGGATGTCCAGTCATACTGTTCATATGTCAGTTATTAGAACGACGTTTCCAAGACGGGAAATGGGAATCGAACCATATACCCGCCCCATTGCAGTCCAGCCAAGAAGATGATAAGGCCGGAAATACTGAGGAACCCCCCAATGAAGTCTATGCGACTGATAATATCGGATCTCGTTAAGCCTTCTGAATTGACTCGTGGTGGCGGGAAGTAAAAGAGGGCTGTGATGAGCAACCCGAAACCACTCCAGGCTCCGCAGAAAGCCCCGACATAGCGCCATCCGCTGTGTGCTGCAATAAGCTGAGCCCATAGCACAGATGGGCAAAAGGGCAAGATGGTGAAGATCAACACTGAAACATATTTTCCCCTTTGTCGAGTTGGAGCCATTTCTGAGGTGGCGGCTAATGCAGTCAACTCATTGATACCTGCGCCTGCGCCCGCTATTGCCATCCCCGCTGTATGTTTGTTAGACCCCAATCCAGAGCAATTGATATGGCGGATAAAATTATGTGTACCTACCAATGAAAATGTTCATCGTATGTGCTGTACTGCTGACTATCATACCAAGGCAAACAAGGGAGGCTCCGATGAGGGCAACGTATCGACGACCGATCAAATCCGAAAGCGACCCGACAAAAGGGCAAACGCCAGCAAGTGCCAGCAAGTTGGCTAGGACCTGTGTTCATCCAGCAACTATCAGCTCTTGGCCACCTTATCCCTAGTAGGTTACTCACAAACCAAACCCATCGATCCGCACCGCCAATGTCTCCGTAGACGTAAGGTGGTATGCCTCCTGGAAGGCTAGTATTAGAACGTTGGTATCCAGCATACAGACGAGGATCTCACCGAAGAGATAGACTGGAATTTGGCTTCCAGTCCATAGGAACGCCATTGCTGTAAATCCCATGAACCGACGGAAGGTCATCTAGCAATTGACAGGGTTCACAGTCAGTTTGGGGTGAGTGCCGCAAATGCCACAGCTGATCAGGCACATACTGGGTTGTCCACAGGCGCACCCATCTCTTCGTACGCAACAACCTCATCATGGCTAAATTTCCTCTCCATATTGCCGGTCGGAGGTGACTCTGCTACTGCCTTTTCATCAGTCTGCGACTGACTTGAGTGATCGGTGAGCTCCATGGGCGTTGGGAGAGCAGGCTGGAGCGAGTCCTATTGGTGCGCAGCGACAACAATCAAACAGAAGACTCGAGATTAGGAAAAAAAGCAAAAGCTTGCTGCAAGCCATGCATGTCCTGTTTATTTATCTCCCCCAGCACAGATCATCATAGTGGGTCTCTAATGATGCTGGCTTGTATAGATACTAGGGCGTGGATCCAGACCGTTTAAAGGTGACGACCCATGGAACCCAGCAGGATCTCAAATCCATCAAAGCGTCACCAGGGAGTGGACAGACCGGAGATACTACCATTCTCAGACACAACCGAGGCAGTTGAGCGAATGCAAGGGCGACCATTGGGTCCTGGATAGCCGACCGGGAGGGTTGACCGCGTGGATGGGATGTGGAGGAGAGGAAAATGCGGGGGAAATCCTGGGGGAGAAGCAGGATCGGAAAGGGCCCAGCAGTTGCTGGACGGGCAGGCTGCCGCTCCACCAGGCGACAAGTCAAAGACGTCGCTTCGGTCTCCCCGGTCTTCAAAGAAACTCTATTTTCTCAACCTTTTCTAGGTTACCGGTGCATAGAATCTATAAGTAAAATGTCTATTAAATGTCCGTGCAGAAAAGAGGCGCAATGAATCAGAAGGGGTGTATGTACACGAGGATGAAAATTTGGATCCATTATCCTGGATGAAGAATTAAGTTCTCAGGAGGGCCTCGCCAATAACAGTCTCCCAATGTGGCGAGAATGCTAACAAAGTCCAGCCAGGAATAGTCGTCCCTTGCACGACCCTGGCTAGGCAGGATACGGCTGCATGAATTCAAAGGCCCGTCCAGACCTATAGCACCTCTAGATCCTGGCGCAGCCTGGTCAATAGCGTTCTCCAACCTCTTGAAGCTTATAGGACTTGGGGACTACAAAGAGGGCGGAAGCCTCGATACACAACCGTCCCATGGGGTCGCGTACTTCTCCCTTCACCCATGCCTTGCGTTCTGTGCTCCGTTCCTCGTCCAGAGTAGCATGGAAGGTGTAGAAGTTACCCGAGTACACCGGCGCACGGTATTTGAGCTGCAGGTTGGCCGTGACACCAGTGCGTTGTGGAAGATGTCTGATTGCGACTCGGGCTAGATGCTCATCGATCACGGTCCCCAGAGCACCTCCATGAACAACCGTCGGCCATCCTTCTAATCCCGGTCCGACATATGCGACATTGATGGCCTCCTTCTCCTTATCATTGTAGAATATTCTCTATGTGACCACTTCGTCAGCCATGTGCCAGGTTTCACAAAAGTTCGTAGAGGCATCGGCATGCACTACAAGGCGAGAACTGACCTGGAATGCTAGCCCTCGGCTGCCTCGTAAAGGACCCGAACTCAGCCTCTGTAATTTATCTTCCTCCGAATAATTGCCGTATACATCAGCCTCTATATAGTCGGGGTTTTCTCGAAGTTCCTTCACGATGGGCAGCCCGTGTTCGTAGATGTAACGGATTTCTTCTAGTCTTTCGCGATCTTCCTCTGTATCGGGCAATGGCGGTGGTGCGAGCTTCCTATCCATCCACTTTCCGGCAGCAATCCCAAGGCTACCGAAAATCGCAATGTACGCCAGGCGTCGCGGCCACCGCGACGGTTGAGGTATCGGTTCATGGGCGGCGGTGCTGGTGTTCCTCGAGGGACGTAGTGTGTATCGACATGGTAACAGCGGTTTGTTCCGGAGGAGGCGTAATTGCGACTGTAGGACTCTGCGCGTGGAAAACATGATGCTCACATCGCAGATTTCATCAACGACGCAGCATTTTCCCAGAGCTCGACGAAGCAACCAGTGATTAGATAAGATAGGGGATCCCTCGGCTCTTGCTGCATTATCACGTGATTGGAAGATACGCTGTTGTCTGGATACAATCTACAGCTAGTGCTAGCTACAAGGCAGGTTATTTTACTAATTGACTCAAAACCATCTTTGCAGTACTTTGTTTAGCAGAAACACATGTTCCTAACATTCAGCCATAAGCTCATTATCTATGCATACCGTTTCTAGCCTGATACTCGTGAGATAAAGTGAGGGCCCTGCTTAATTTGTCGTCGGCACCTCAACCGCCCGGTAGAGGAGAATAAGTGCGGAATGGGATTCACCTGGATATGAAGGTTAGACGTCCGTCCGCTATTCAAAATCAAGTAACAATTGTGTCAGGGACTTACCACCAC